CTCTCTCTCTCTCTCTCTCTCTCTCTCTCTCTCTCTCTCTCACACACACACACACACACACACACACACACACACACACACATACACACACACACACACACATGTGCGCGCGCGCGCGCGTTCTTTTGCGCTCGCGCGTGCGCGGGATCGCGATCGATCGATGAACCAAATCAATCGCTGGATCGCGCGCGTGCGGGCGATGTGCAAGTCTGTGTCTATTTTCGGCGCGCGCCCATGCGTCAGTCTCTGGCGCGCGCGGGAACAAGTGAATTAAGGAAGCGAAGACGGAAGGAAAGATGAAATCCAGCTCAAGAAAGGATAGGAGATGGCAGGCGCAGGCAGAGAACATAGCCTTAAGCTCTGGACATGGCAGGAGCACAGACGGTCCTCAGTTTGAACCCTCGTTCACCGGACTTTACCAGTTAAGTACAACAAGCGAATTGATCCCACGTGTGCTCAGGTGACGTCAACAGATATGAGGATCACCCCCTAGCTTCTTGAGAGAAGCACACCAGCGCGCGGACATTGGCCAGAGATTGCACTTTTGCACGGATGGAAATACAGACCGTCAATCTTGAAGATCAAAGGTCCGTATCTACGCAGATCTTGAAATCAAAGTTCAGGATTTGGCAGCAAATTTTCTCTCTCTTTTGCTGCTCTCAGCTGCGGAGATTATTTATTAGCCTAAGTAGGAGTAGTAACTGGACACGAAGAGCAGACTCTTCTTCTGCGCTTCGAGCCTCAGCGTTGTTACGTGCTTTATCTCCGTCGATAAGATCACAGGTCACTGAACAAGTCAAATCTCGGCCATCGCCGGATGGCCGATGAAGGTGAACCAGAGAGAAGGATATGCATCATGCCGCGCTAAAAAAAAAAAATCCAGGAATGATGACGTCAAAAGAAAACGGGTCTGGACAGAAAGGAAAAGCGCGCACAAATCCGATCAGTGGATAAGTACTGCATGGAGAACGGATGGATGTCCGAATCGAGACCATAGAGGTAGAGGTGCAGTAGTGGTGACCTCGCACAGTCAAGAGCGGCAAGAGCCATAGACATGCAACCGGTGCAACCTCGCGCAATCCAGAGCGTTTAGCACGTTTGTCTGAATGCAACGCCGGCTGCAAGTCACATTTATTTGCAATCGGCGCCTCCATTCACCCGATTCGACCAGTTCTTTATCAGACAGGTGGAGAGAGAGAGAGAGAGAGAGAGAGAGAGAGAGAGAGAGAGAGAGAGAGGATGGATTTGCGACAGTAGATCTAATCAATGAATTTCCTTTCTTGGCCGTCGATCACTGGTCATGCAAAAGGGAATCGGCGGGCACAGGGGAGAGGGGATTACGAGAGGAATGGATTGCAGGGTCAGTGTGTAGTAAAGTCGACCGCTTTTCTCAAGGGTATTGCTACCTTTGGCCAAGTCCGTAAGTCCTAATCCATCAGTCAAATGGATCCTGCGCACACACACTATCGGGCTACAACATCCTGATGAGCTGATGAAATGTCATTTTTTCCTCTTTTCTGTGGGGTTGTGTATAGCGAAMTCACACACACACACACACACACACACACACACACACACACACACACACAGAGCAATCGCTCGGTCTTGTGCATCTTATGCAATCCAGTGAGAGAGCTATTGACGGAAAAATCACGTTGATTGCCGACTGACCTGGACATAAGCGAAAGAATAAACAGTGGCCTCGTAGTCTCCGTCGCCGTGGCGCAGCCTGTCAGTTCCGCAACTACAAAGCGCTACAGCCATGATTGTCCCTACCGGATATTGGCGCGGATCCGGCGGATCCCTCAGATCTAGCAGGCAACACGCGCATCATACGCGGTGTCAATGTGGCGAAGATAGAGGCGTACGTGGGGATCGGGACGATGGGAGGGATGACGGTGGAGCAAAACACTGGGCCGAGGTCAAGGTTCCACTCACCCTGGACTTCTGAGTCTCGAGCCGTCGATCTTTCTCATCCACAGTCCAGGCCGAAGAAACTGCAGAAGTGATACTTCAACCTCGGGTAGAGTCCAAGAGTCGCGAGCTGAATCAGGATATACTTCCACGTGTGACGGAAGAAAAGCGGACACTTGCGCGGGGTGGAGTGGGCCTTCCCTGTTGTGTGAGGCCACAGCCGCTGACGTGGCGCCGCTTTTGTGTGAAGTTGTTCTTTTTTTTTGGGGAAATTTGTCTGGCGCCCCTGTAATTTCCAATCTTTGCGTCGCGCCCCACCATTTACCCTGTTGTGCCCCTGGGGCCTCTGAACTTTCCTGCATGCCCCTGTCAGCAAGGGGCCCAGCTTTCCGCGGTGCCCTACTGGACGGCCAGTCCCATTTCACAGGTCCCTGCGCTATATGCCCTCATGAAGGTCATGCATCTTTCCGTCATGCCCTTGCGCCGGAAATTCGGATTGAAGCACGTGCCGCATGTGTGTGTGTGTGTGTGTGTGTGTGTGTGTGTGTGTGTGTGTGTGTGAGAGAGAGAGAGAGAAAGGAG